TATAATTTAGAATAACTTGTCAACATTTTAACTATTTAATAATTTAATAATATAATAATCTTATCCCACCTTATTAGATAATTGGGGAACATAGAAACGGCAGAGAACTGACAGGGTGAATGAAGACGGTAAACCGTCTCACCACCCTGCATCATTGTGATCTTGTGTTCGACTCGCGACTACCGACTTCTTGACTTTACTGTCATTATTATAATCGTTGATTTCGCTTTTCAAACGGTTGCTAATTAAACTACTAACACCGTATGTAAGTAGGTGTTAGCTTGCAGTTTTAAATAATCACTTTAGATGTACTAATTTTGTAACAGTGACCTGAATATGAATTTATGGATATTATGTAACAGTACTCGTTGCTAGAGTAATCGGTTTGTTTTATATCACATACTAGATAAATGACTTCTTTTTATATTTTTCAAAATATACAAAATACCATAATTTTTCTCCTCTGGCGAAAGCATAATTTACTTAAAATTTTGGTGAAGGAGCAGGGAAGTCTAGACACTCCGAACATGTAGTCCAATGAACACAACGGTATGTCATTGGTTTTTGTGCCTATTTCATAAATTCTACGTATCTAGGAATATAATGAAAAAATTCTCAAAATTACCAGTTTTCAAACAAAACGTAACGCCACCCTAATGATGAATTCGATTATAAAAACCGTCGCCTTATCCTAATATTTGCTTGGCCTGCGTTCCTTCAGGCTGAAAGTTTTTACGACATTTTGAAGTTCGTTAAAGTATGTTTACCTACCCATTTATTTTTCCTTCGCTTTCAGCAAGTGGCATGAAGAAGTCGAAAATATATGCATTCAAATGAAATTTGGCAAGAAATTGAGTGAAATTGGATTGCATGATTTCTGAGAAAATCAGTAGGAAAACTGGACACATTTTCGCTTTTTATTTCTGAAACCAATAAAAATATTTCCGACTTTTTATAAAATGTAGATCTATTGGGCCCTCCATATATACTACTCTATCTGGCGTCGAAATTTACAACTAAGATGTGGTAAAAATGTCTACGATTCGTACAGTCAATCGATATTATTAATCGTAATTTTTATTTTATTATAATGATAAAAAACTTTGAAAAGTGAAATATGCAAAGTTATCAAAAGCAAACAAAAGTCTATACAGGGTGTTTCTGAAATAAGTGGCAAGCTTTGGAAGGTGTTAACTAGATGCAATAAGGAATCGCATGGTGAGTAAAGTAACGTTGTTCAGGGACAAACGAATTTGTAAGAAAACCAGACAAAGTTACAATCTGAAGCCAGCCCTGACCGTGAATTGACAACATATCGATGATAAATGTAAATAGTGACCGTTGTGGAGCGACTAATACAGTAAATAACAACAGCTTTATTACACAGAATAATACTTAGACGACCCTTGCGTTTACAATTTAATAAATAATTACTTTATTCATCAGTGATAATATGCACTATTTTGCACCTATGACACTGACACCTTAACTGCCTATATTCATACGTAATACAAACCCATAACGTTAAAAGAACAGAGAACTGCTCTAAGCCGGTTGTAAACATAAACATCGCCAATAACACTTAATCTTATCTAACAAATAACAAACAATACATGAGTACAAAAATAAAAAAAATACAGAACGGATACTGTTAAGTAGCAGCTGATTTAATGCGACGCTGCAATGTCGCATTTTTCTACATGATCCTACCAGGGCCGGACTGGACCTTGCCTGTGTTTTCAAATACCTTTTTCTTTTGAACTTTCAAACCACCCAACACTTACTTAATTTTCTTGCCACTTATTTCAAAAAAAACTACTATAATAATATAGGTAACTGTATTGTATATGTAAAAAATAAATTTGGAAAGATAAAGATAATTAATGATAACGTTTACAGATACGGCGCACATGAAGAAAGGCGGCCGCGGCGAATCGATAAGCCTCTCACACACATGTATGCCCGATCGCACACATGTATGCCCGATCGCACACAATCGCGCTCGTGGTCGCTACAATATTTATTTTAACTAGTACAGTAGTTGCTAAGTTAACTTTATTTTTAGCGTTAGTTTGAATGCTATAAGTCTGAAGGACTAATCAAAATTGACATTTTTGCCATTTGCTTCATTCTAAATACCTTTGCATTTCTATAAAATACTTATATTGGTTTGAACATAAGTACTTAGGCACCTACATATGTTATNTTTTATTAATAAATTAATTGATTAGTTAATTTTTATTTCACAGAAATATCTTTGTATTGACGTTTATGTTCTATTTCTTTCTCTTGCAGGCCTTCGTAAGTAGTAACGATGACGAGTACTCTTTAAAAGTTTCGACAAGATATTTACCAAATATGGATTTATTATAACATCAGGGTGATTACACGATTTGGTGTGGAATGGGCTGCAGTTTAGCAAAGAATTCCGGCAGTAAGTCTGGAGGAAAGAACAAGGATGCCTTACAGGAACCACCACCTGTTGCGGCACCTGCCGATCCCCGTCTTCCTCTTACAGCTAAACAAAAGTACAGCATGATGGCCTCATGGAAAGGAATAAGCAGAGCGATGGAACAAACAGGGATAAATATGTTTATCAAGTAAGTGAAAACATAGAAACAATGCAATTATATTCACAATTAATAAACGTACCTAAGAAATTTTGAAATTGGTCTTCCAACACAAGTTACTTTCACCTTCTCTTTTTTTAAAGAATTATAATTTTGTAGGCTGTGGTGTAGCGGATGATACCACACGAGTGAACAAATAGCTATTTATATAAGAATAGTTATCCATAATTTTCAGGTATAAATTATAAATAACGTTAAATTAATGAGGAAAAATTGTTGCTGCTGTGACGTATTCGCCGGGAATAGAACCCAAGTCCATGGCTTTACGTATTATTGCTCTACAGCTCAGCAGCTACAGTGACTGTCACCTCTCGTAGTTTAGTGATAGAGCAATGATGTGTAAAGCGCCAGGGACTTGGGTTCGATTCCCGGCGAGGACGAGACAGCAGCAACAATCTTTTCTCATTAATTTGACATTATCTGTTGTGGTAAAAATTAATTCACCTTAATATGTATTCAACCCTACAAATATTATTCTAAAATTCCCACACGTCAATCCTATCAAGCTTTTATGTCTTCAAGTCTAATCAATTTGCGTCTTCTACAATCCGTCTTTCAATTTTTGTAAATACACTTTCATTGTTGTAGTTATTATTTAGTGTTTTACTTATTTATTACGTACTCTTACAGAATAGCTAGAGACTAAAGTTTATATTCATGTATGTTCTCTTTTATTGAAAATTATTATTGGCATCAGAATAACTTAAGAAGAAGAAGTGTTAGATAGAACCATTGAATTCAAAATAATAAATTAAATAGTAAAATTAAGTCATGTAGAATTTCTTTCGAAAACATATCGAAGTATTTTTTATATACACGGTAGGATATTATGTTATGGTAAATTGTCATGACGCAAATTAGAATCATATATTTGAAGTATTTACAGTTTACATTTCGGATTAGAGTTTTTCCTTTCATAAATTGATATTTAAAGTTTTACATTTTCGTGCAATAAATGCAGGTATACCTTAACGATCATGTGTCTTCATAATCGCAGAATACTACGCTTCTATCCTAGAGCCGTAAAAGGAAGCAGTCNTTGTTCTGGAGAAACAACCCATTTACTTCATTATTACAAAAATTTGCGTGACTACATCCTGTTTGGTCTTTTAGCATGATAAAATAAATGCAATTATTCGAGCTACTTTATATGTACTACCATCTTTAATTTTGGATATTTAGCGACCTTTTTTATGCCGTACTGTAACGAATATTCAAGTACGTAGTTATTTAAACAATGTCTTGAATACATTATGAGAAATTTACACATAAAAATACCTTATATAATAGTCTTTTATTTATACCACCATTTAATCTCTCATTCGCGCACTATTTATATCAACGTATATTATCGACTTATATGTTGTCGGATATTGGCCACTAACTCCTAGATATTGTTATGAAATGTTCCTAAACGTTTCCGGTAACTTCCCGTAAGTTCTTCTTTATTTCGCAGTCTGTTCGCTGGATGATTTATGATCCCTGCGACTTTTGTGTGTGTGTGGATCGACAATCTCCGCGTGGAGTACTAATGGGTTTGAGTATAGACATACACACTGCGCGTGAATTGCCACTCCACGCACCGTGTAACATGAACTTTAATTAATTGTATAAGTCACTTGAACTTATGTAAATACTTTCGAACCAGGTTTGATAATATTTTTCTGATATTCATGCTCGGAAAAAAATTCTCCAGGATAAAATAATTCGAAGTCCAAAAGATCTAAATCGCGATCTGCGTCTGGCAGTTTCTACAGAATACAGACCACTTCGAATTATTTTATTCGATTATGGTAACGTGCCTATCACGTTGAGATTAGCTACGCCGGGATTCGTTTCAGATATCCATATATTTAGATGGACTTTGTTGGGCCATACGTAATCCTAAAATGTAGCATCGTACTACAGATGGCGTTTACCGCGCCATTTGTGGTATTTTCTAATTCTCCAGGACTTTCCTTCACGCTTCAGTCTACGCCGACCCCTTTACAACGAGCGTGAATTAACAATCTTCACGTGGAGTAATAATGCGTGAATTGTCGCTCCACGCGCCGTGTAACATGACCTTTAATAAACTGTAAAAGTTACTTGACCTTATGTAAATATTTTCGGACCAAATTTGATAACATTCTTGTGACATTCACCAACAATGCTCGGAGAAGAATTCACCAGGACTTTCCTTCACGCTTCAGGCTGCGCCGACTATACTAATCTTTAACGTTATCGTTTTAATTACTATCCAATAAAATTAGAGATAGAAGCAAAAACTTAACGTAAGGCGTCATGAATAAAAAAGTATAGAAAGCACAAGAGTCGCAACGCAATGTGTGACTGCGCATCTATTCCGGTAGAGATGTGTTCGATTGCCTTTTTTTACTGTAATTCTAGTCGCACATAGCACATTTGCGAAAAATAATAATACGAACATCCCGATTGACTTTTGCAAAACACGCATGGGCAAATCGCAGTAACAAAGGCAAAAGAAAATACCTATTGTAAGTTGTCAAGCACAAATCGTAAACAAAATCGTAAACGTGCGCGTCGAATCGAGTTCACACTGCCTTACTGCGCAGCGACTGTAGTTTCTATTTACCTACTCCAACCTCTAGTCTTCTTCGTTAATTACTTGACGTACTACCAGGTATACAAGCTTAAATCCGCTGTTTTTTTTTTATGAAAAGCACCTTTTTTTATAAAAAGAAAAATCAAATTTATTCAAAATACTGTCCAGTGCCTTCGATACATTTCTTCCATCTTTCGGGTAATTTGTGGATTCCACGACAAAAAAATTTTTCTTCTTTTGAGACAAACCACTCATCAAGCCATTTTCGGACGTCGCCGTATGAATCGAAGTGCTGCTCAGCGAGCGAGTGACCTATCTAGGCAAACAAATGATAGTGGGAAGGGGCCAGGTCTGGTGAATAAGCGGAGTGGGGTAGCACCCCCCAGTTAAGCGTTTCTAAATAGTTTTGGACTTTTTTTGACGTGTGGGACGGAGCACTGTTATGGAGGAGAATCAGCTTTTCATGTCTTTGCTCATATTCGGACCTTTTTTTACGCAGAGCACGGTGCAATTTGATCAGTTGTTGGTGGTAACGGTGGGCATCAACAGTTTCACGAGGTTTCAACAGTTCATAATAGATGATACCCCGCTGATCCCACCAAACGCACAGCATCGTCTTCGGTCCGAAGCGTATTTGGTCTTAGGAACGATGTTGATGGTTGGCCGAGATTAACCCACGATTGTTTTGGTTTAGGATTCTGAAAATATATCCACTTTTCATCGCCAGTCACAATCCGATTCAAAAACATCTTTATCTTGTATCTGGCAAGTAAGATTTCGCATGTGTTTTGGTGTCGTTCCATCTGCCTATCGTTCAATTCATGCGGCACCCATTTTCCGAGCCTTTGAACCTTACCCATAGCATGTAGACGCATGGAAATAGCTTGTTGAGAAACACTTATCGTCCTTGTCCAAAAGAGCCTTCAATTCGTGGTCCTCAAATTTTCTGGGCCGATTTTCACGCTCCTTGTCGCTCAAATCGAAATTACCATTTTTGAATTGACAAAACCAATCCCGGTACGTTGTTTCTGGTAATGCATTGTCACCGTAGGCCTCCACAAGCATTAGATGCGATTCAGCGGCAGATTTCTTCAAATTGAAGCAGAAAAGTAGAGCTTCCCGCAAATGCTTTTTTCTGGGACAAAACTAGACATGATTACTGAAAACGAAAAGTATGTTTTTCTATGAAATTGATGATGATGTGAACTGACTATTGTTGACAGATGTCGTACTCATAAAAAAAATGTGGCATATACATATCAGCTTGATATACTCACTGAGCAAACAGCGAATTTAAGCTTGTGCACCTGGTACATATATAATTGTGGAAATGTACGGATTTTTCCGAAGAAACAGACCAGATTAAATTAGATTCCAGTTCTCCTCCTTGTAGTAGTTTTAAAAAATTAAGGATTAAATTTAACGGCATTAAAAGTGCCCCGAAGACGTTCCTTGCGTTTAAGGACGAAACGTCAGCAGCAGATAAATTGACTCCATGAAAGTTCATAATCCTGAAAATTACTGCAAATAACACCCACGGAATCCTAGTTTGATACAACTTATTAGTTTTGAATGATTCTATCACGTGTCCTGTACCTGTTGCCTCTCTCTCACTTGGACAGAAGTTGCTCAATAATCTTGTAACAATAGATGCTCATATTCCGAGTTTCTGAATTGGCTTTATACCACAAATATGAATTTGATGGCCGATTAAGTCGAATTACTGCCAACATTGGTGAGATCGTAATGCAAATTATAATCGAGTAATAGAAATTGGACAGTCAAAGACCTATTCTAATCATTTGGCGGTAGCTCGCCGGTTATTATGTATTCTGATGAACAGTATTAGCATTTTTTTGCCAACAAATTACCTTATATGCTGTATTAATACGCGTGGGATACAATTGATAATTTTCAGTTAATCACAGTATAGTTAAAAGGACAGATTATTTCGAGATAATTACATATATTCTCTGTTTAAAACAGGAAACTACAGGGTAATGTTTTAAAAGAGGAACTGCTAGCGTACGAGGGTGGATTGATAAGTTTCCGGCCTAACCAAGAGATGACGCCACTAGGCCTACCTTGAGGTGACATTCTATAGTACCATCCTTGGATAGCTTGTAGCTATAGTTTCAGCCCGATCTCCTTGCTAGTGTAGGTTTGACAGCACG